CTTTGCAGCCAAAACTTGAAAGACTTTGTGTGGAATCCTGTAATGGTTGTCAAGTCGGTCATCCTAGTCAAAGACAACATGACTGCCTCATGATGAACGAAAACGAACGAGAGCAAATAAGGAATCTATTCGTCACAAAAATCATATTTTAAATATATTTTAGACATATTTTAAACTAAACAGTTTCTAATCCCGAGTTGTCAACGTCGTTGTTAAGGTCAATATTTACATGTTGTTCAACGTTATTTTAGCAAATATTCTACATACATATATACTGTTAAGATGACCGAGTCAGATCATAAGTAAGCTTATCAAGAACATAAGTTAGAATTGGAACAGTTGTAAGATATTTTGCAATAAAAACATGTAATCGTTATATACGTTGTTATTTGTTGCTAAGTCATTAGCGACGCTTGCGTGCATGCATATATTAACGTACAACATATTTGTACACTAATCAGGCGGGCGGGTCGCGCGGGTGGAAAAGCGGGCTTTGCAGGCAAAAATTTACACAAGATTTCAGTTTTACAATTATTTCTTCAAAATGTTTTAACAAAATTTAGTACGGTCTACTTTTAAGAGCGTAACGTCTAGGTGATTCTTGCATATCTTCTGGGGATAACCTAAGATATCGAATGATATCCTAAGATATCGAATGATATCCTAAGATACTGTATGATATCCTAAGATATCGAATGATATCCTAAGATACTGTATGATATCCTAAGATATCGAATGATATCCTAAGATACTGTATAATATCCTAAGATATTTATAATATCCTAAGATATTGATATCCCAGCTAAGATATTGATATCCTAAGATACTGATATCCTAAGATACTGATATCCTAAGATACTGATATCCTAAGAAAATGATATCCTAAGGAAATGATATCCTAAGATACTGATCAGCTCCTTAGGCTCGGAGCCAGCTCCTTGGGCTCGGAGCCACCTCCTTGGGCTCGGAGCCACCTCCTTAGGCTCAGAGCCAGCTCCTTAGGCTCAGAGCCAGCTCCTTAGGCTCAGAGCCAGCTCCTTAGGCTCGGAGCCAGCTCCTTAGGCTCGGAGCCACCTCCTTAGGTTCGGAGCCGAGCTCCTTAGGCTGTGATGTAGGGTCGATGTAGGGTCGATGTAGGGTCGATGTAGGGTCGATGTAGGGTCGATGTGGGGTCGATGTGGGGTCGATGTAGGGTCGATGTGGGGTCGATGTGGGGTCGATGTGGGGTCGATGTGGGGTCGATGTGAGGTCGATGTAGGGTCGATGTAGGGTCGATGTGAGGTCGATGTAGGGTCGATGTAGGGCTAGGAGTATAGGAGATAGGAGCCACCGAAGTCCTAGTAATAGGAAACAAATTGGAATTGTTGGAGAATGAATGTTTGATAAGAATATAGTCCACTTTATGAACGCCTATTGGCGACTGCCGTGTTTATCTCTTCGCCACCTCGCCACCTGGCGAATAAACAATAAAGCCAAACAGGGCCCCAAGAACTTGCTTATCTGCTGGTGTATCAGGCTTGTTATCCATCAACAAGTATCCAAACGGTTTTTCAGTCTCTTTGTAATAGGCGTTCTGGACTCCTAAGGATCGAGCTGGCTCCGAGCCTAAAGAGCTGGCTTCGAGCCTAAGGAGCTGGCTCCGAGCATAAGGTGCTCGGCTCCAAGCCTAAGGAGCTCGGCTCCGAGCCTACGGAGCTCGGCTCCGAGCCTAAGGAGCTCGGCTCCGAGCCTAAAGAGCTGGCTCGGAGCCTAAGGAGCTGGCTCCGAGCATAAGGAGCTCGGCTCCGAGCTGATCAGTATCTTAGGATATCATTTTCTTAGGATATCAGTATCTTAGGATATCAGTATCTTAGGATATCAGCATCTTAGGATATCAGTATCTTAGGATATCAGTATTTTAGGATATCAATATCTTAGATGAAAGTAACCACGATGATGAAAGTAGCTATGATGAAGAATCAGAGAGCGAAACCCCTGAAACAAGTGACAACAACGTATATAACGATTACATGTTTTTATCGCAAAATATGTTACAACTGTTCCAGTTCTAACTTATATTTTTGATAAGCTTACTTATGATCTGACTCGGTCATCTTAACAGTATATATGTATGTAGAATATTTGCTAAAATAACGTTGAACAACATGTAAATATTGACCTTAACAACGACGTTGACAACTCGGGATTAGAAACTGTTTAGTTTAAAATATGTCTAAAATATATTTAAAATATGATTTTTGTGACGAATAGATTCCTTATTTGCCCTCGTTCGTTTTCGTTCATCATGAGGCAGTCATGTTGTCTTTGACTAGGATGACCGACTTGACAACCATTACAGGATTCCACACAAAGTCTTTCAAGTTTTGGCTGCAAAGCGCTCATGTCTTGTCTAAATCGCTTTCTCTCTTCCCGCACGGATAACCCGCGACGCCCGCGCAATGAATATCCTAATCTACCCGTATTTATCCACACAGTAGAAAAATGCAAATCTCTGATAAAAGTTAATCCTTTAATTAGTGTCACCCTAACAACACATAGCAACCGGTGTGCTTTAATATAGCTTAAATTTATTAACGTTATCCGAGTTTTAGTACTTTAAAAAACTAGCAATAAAATATAGAAATCGCTTGAAAATTATATATCATAATCTCTAATTTCCATGTGTTTATATAACTCTGACAGCAACATATTCTCTCCTATGGCAGATCGGGATTTAAATATTAGCTTAATTGTAGATACATAACTCTTACCGCATGCTATTTCTCAGCGTTTTGACGCTTGATAATATTTATATATTACTTAACAACAAAACATATAGCTGTATACCCCGAATATATAAGTTTTAGATATATAACACTAATGCTATTTGATATAATATCAGATTTTTTACTCCTCTAGGAGCTAAATTAAAGAAATCACTTGACAATAACAGCAAAATGCCAGAGCTGTATCATAAACGTGGAGGGACGCTAAAAAATGCTTAGTCAGCAAGTTTCGTCCGATCGTGTTTAAGCTCGCCCGCGTGACGTCATCGCATATAATTATGACGTGTGTTAACGAGTGACGTCACTACGCACCCTCACTCCTCCTCACTCCTCCTCACTCCTCCTCACTCCACCACACTCCTCCTCCCTCCTCCTCACTCCTCCTCACTCCTCCTCACTCCTCCTCAAAAATAAGGGTCGAACGGCCCCTATATTACTACTGGGGAATTTGATTAGCATTTTGGGTCCGAGGGTATGGCTTTTTGAACCGAATAACTTGCAAACATTATGAAACATAATATTTATTGCAATTTATTGCAAAATGGTGGGCCATTTGACCGATATTTATTGCCGGATATTGGGGCATTTGATTGGAAATTTGCAAAAAAGAACATTAATTAAGAACTGATCAAATGTCCCACATATACCCAACTTCCCCTTTCTGGGGCTTATTAAACATTGATAGGTGCAAAGTAAATAGTAAATTATTCATTAGTAAGATATAAATTTATAACACAAAAGAAACAAGGTCAAAAATCAAAACAATTAACATAAATTTAAATATTCAGGATAATTTCACATACATCCATTGAGAACACCACACGATTACATATTAAACCATTTTAACTTTCTGCATACCTAATTTTAGTGTGCAGTGATAACCAATTTGTACAGTTATAAAAGTAAAATGTGCAGTGATAAAATGTAAAGTATGCAGTGATAAAATTTGCTTTGATAAGTTGTTAATTAACACAAGAAATTGAGACAATAAGCAGAAAAACTAAACTAATCCGGCGAAACATTTTGAATGAGAATGATTTAATTGAAATTGAAATGATGATTGCCAAATTATCGAACGTCAGCACTAATAACACACTTATGGTTATGGTTCATCAAATGAACAAAGTCTCTCACCAAAGATCTCTTTATCAGTTTGAAAGATGGAGTGAATGATACTTAAGATTTTGTAATTACTGTATAATTTTCAAAATTCTATAGAATATCCCGCGCATTGCAGGAGATGCCCTTTTATAGTGCCTAGATTACAAAATTGCCTGTGGGTGCATGCCCCTGGAACTCCTCTAGAGGTTTGTCACGCCTAAGCCCGTAAGCCGCCTTTCATTTGCCAAGACGAAAATATTTATTTTCTCCAGTCATGTTATTATGAAACTAAACTGTCATAGATAGTCGTAACTGCAGGTGTTGTCAAGGCCGCCCAGTCAGGGTCCAATTTGCCCTGGGACCCCAGTTAAAGGGGGGCCCAAATAAAGAACTGCAGTGAAATATACATAGATATAACTGTCAACTGGACTTCCAGAATGCAGGATTTGGCCATTTCTGGGACCTCTGATTTCAAAATTGTTCCGGGCGATGCCCCGGGACCCCCTAATCATAGTGTAAGAACACGGAATCACGAGAGCCCCCAAGTCAAAGTTTGTCCTGGACCCCCAAATTTCCCTGAGTGCTGTGCAGTGAATGTTCGTTTTGGCATTTTTGAATATCAATTGTAGCCTGCTTTGTTGTTTACGACACATTTTTATAAGGGTGTGTTCAGAAATTTTCAGGGCGTGCTTCTGCTCGGCTAAACTTTGCAGAAAAATGTGCAGTGATAAAAAAATCTTAAAATTAGGTATGACTTTCTGCATTTTATTGATTTGAAGTTTTTGAACATGTAATTATGTATACATGTGGTAGTTGTTGTCACCTTATGACAAGTTGTGACATACTTGCTCAACACAGTGGCACTGAGCTAATTATATTTAAATATAACTCCAGTGTATGGGCAGTATACCTCAGACAGTTCACTCACGCAGTTGATTAACACATTGTGTTTAATGCATTTTTATTTACGTGGACTACATACTCGGAAGACATACAGGTCAACTAGGAGCCCCTCAATCCTTTCGGCCTTTCAACTTTTTCATGGCGCACCTGAGAATTTTTAGGCAATTTTGTGCACCCCGCACTTCCGGTGCGGCCTGATTGCGCACCCAAGATCTTGTTGAAAACTGTCATACTCTGCAGCCTGGATGATGACCATTTAACAATTAGACAGCGAAGCCGAGTTGTCTATGAGCGAATAGTCAACGAGGCTGAGTTTTCTAATTGTTTTAGTATAAACCACATAAATAAAACGGAATTTTTCACTTGATTTTTATGTAAAATAGTAACTTTTTAACGAAATGAGCTTTAAATGGCTTCCTTTGGCGACATTTCGCCTCGGCTTTGTTGACAACTACTCAGTGTTGCGAACTCCCAAGAATGAGTTGAAAAATACAACTTGTAAGTTTTTAAAAAGTTAAAAAACATGTCGTAAAACAGTATAATAGTAAGAGACCGTTATTCAAGCAAAGTTTGGTTAATTAAAAGAAGGAAACAAGGCTTAAAAAGTCCAAAATTTCGAACACAAAATGGCTTCCCGAATTGTTACTAAATTAGTAAATAAAGTTTACGTTAGAAAGCCGAATAAAAATGCACACACAAAAGAATCCGATTATCCGAATGTCGTTGATATCTTTAAAATATCTGGAACATAAAGAGGCCAACTATTTCCATAATCTAGTATACATAGACAATAGTTTAGATCAAAATTTAATCGAAAAACTCGACTTAAAAAGGCTCGAAAAGGCGAAAAACTCGGCCAAAATCTCAATTTTTAAACGAAAAAAACTCTTTAAAATGACAGCTATAAATGCATGAACTCGTACTTAAAACAAGCACACACTAAAGTGGTTGAGAAAATAAGGGTAAATAGCTTCAAAGTATTGTTGAATTTCAACGATTCTGCTTGGAATATTAACAAACATTGTGCATATACTTTAAAAAATCGCCTGTCACTTTCATGCTCAAAACAACGAGCAAAGTTGAGAAAACTTAAAAATTTTACCGCATGTGTCAGCAGTTTCCAAGAGTCTTTGTTTGTGTGTAATCCAGAACCAAAATTAGGCCATTTTGGTAAGCTTTTTCCCTTTAAATGCAGCTTTTAATACTTAAAAACGGCCATTGACTCTCGCGCCTTTCGTCGCTTGTTGCTACTAGTAGGCTATCACTAAAAGCCTACTAGTAGCGTAGCCAATCAGAACGCACGATACATGATAGCCTACTAGTAGGTTTATACTAATGAGCATTAGTCAGCATGTTGACATGTTTACATCTCTGATGTTTATGAGCATATATTAGTATTATTAAACTCATAGTCGTATGGTTGAAGTTGAGAACCGAACTTTTGTATCTAAGATTGAAAAAAGAGTGCTTTAAGGAAAAGAGATACGGAGGCATGAGTTACTGATGAAACGTCACGGGAATTTATTTTAATAATAGGTTCGTGGGTGTGGGGATCCATGCAGTATCGCGCTAGCATTTCATATAATAGGCAGAAAAATATTTTGTTTATTTTG